TGGTGATCATGGCTCTCCACAATTTCCTCTCCTTTGTAGCTCTTAATAAATTTTGTCTTTTTGTTATCTCTCCTAAACCTTGGTCCGTCATCCATTTACTCAAACTCATTCTTCTTCTTCTATGTGCTGTGAAACTTCAGGACATTGGTGATCATGGCTCTCCAAATTTCCTCTCCTTTGTAGCTCTTAATAAATTTTGTCTTTTCTCTCCTAAACCTTGGTCCGTCATCCATTTACTCAAACTCATTCTTCTTCTTCTATGTGCTTCCATTTGATCATGGCTCTTAATTTCCTTTTTTGTAGCTCTTTAAATTTTGTCTTTTTCTCTCTCCTAAACCTTGGTCCGTCATCCATTTACTCAAACTCATTCTTCTTCTTCTATGTGCTGTGAAACTTCAGGACATTGGTGATCATGGCTCTCCACAATTTCCTCTCCTTTGTAGCTCTTAATAAATTTTGTCTTTTCTTATCTCTCCTAAACCTTGGTCCGTCATCCATTTACTCAAACTCATTCTTCTTCTTCTATGTGCTGTGAAATTTCAGGACATTGGTACTTCAGGACATTGGTGATCATGGCTCTCCACAATTTCCTCTCTTAATAAATTTTGTCTTTTCTTATCTCTTTGTAGCTCTTAATAAATTTTGTCTTTTAAATTTTGTCTTATCTCTCCTAAACCTTGGTCCGTCATCCATTTACTCAAACTCATTCTTCTTCTTCTATGTGCTGTGAAACTTCAGGACATTGGTGATCATGGGCTCTCCACAATTTCCTCTCCTTTGTAGCTCTTAATAAATTTTGTCTTTTTGTTATCTCTCCTAAACCTTGGTCCGTCATCCATTTACTCAAACTCATTCTTCTTCTTCTATGTGCTGTGAAACTTCAGGACATTGGTGATCATGGCTCTCCACAATTTCCTCTCCTTTGTAGCTCTTAATAAATTTTGTCTTTTTGTTATCTCTCCTAAACCTTGGTCCGTCATCCATTTACTCAAACTCATTCTTCTTCTTCTATGTGCTGTGAAACTTCAGGACATTGGTGATCATGGCTCTCCACAATTTCCTCTCCTTTGTAGCTCTTAATAAATTTTGTCTTTTTGTTATCTCTCCTAAACCTTGGTCCGTCATCCATTTACTCAAACTCATTCTTCTTCTATGTGCTGTGAAACTTCAGGACATTGGTGATCATGGCTCTCCACAATTTCCTCTCCTTTGTAGCTCTTAATAAATTTTGTCTTTTTCTTATCTCTCCTAAACCTTGGTCCGTCATCCATTTACTCAAACTCATTCTTCTTCTTCTATGTGCTGTGAAACTTCAGGACATTGGTGATCATGGCTCTCCACAATTTCCTCCTTTGTAGCCTTAATAAATTTTGTCTTTTTCTTATCTCTTAATCCAAAAACTTTTTCTTCTTCTTGTGCTGTGAAACTTCAGGACATTGGTGATCTCCTAAACCTTGGTCCGTCATCCATTTACTCAAACTCATTCTTCTTCTTCTATGTGCTGTGAAATTTCAGGACATTGGTGATCATGGCTCTCCACAATTTCCTCTCCTTTGTAGCTCTTAATAAATTTTGTCTTTTTCTTATCTCTCCTAAACCTTGGTCCATCATCCATTTACTCAAACTCATTCTTTCTCTTCTGTGCTGTGAAACTTCAGGACATTGGTGATCATGGCTCTCCACAATTTCCTCTCCTTTGTAGCTCTTAATAAATTTTGTCTTTTTCTTATCTCTCCTAAACCTTGGTCCGTTCCATTTACTCAAACTCATTCTTCTTCCTATGTGCTTTTCAGGACATTGGTCCATGGCTCTCCACAATTTCCTCCTTTGTAGCTCTTAATAAATTTTGTCTTTTTTTTATCTCTCCTAAACCTTGGTCCGTCATCCATTTACTCAAACTCATTCTTCTTCTTCTATGTGCTGTGAAACTTCAGGACATTGGTGATCATGGCTCTCCACAATTTCCTCTCCTTTGTAGCTCTTAATAAATTTTCCTAAACTTTTCCGTCTCCATTTCTCTAAACCTTGGTCCGTCATCCATTTACTCAAACTCATTTTTCTTCTTCTATGTGCTTTTCTTATCTTCCTAAACATTGGTGATCCATGGCTCTCCTTCTATGTGCAATTTCCTCTCCTTTGTAGCTCTTAATAAATTTTGTCTTTTCTTATCTCTCCTAAACCTTGGTCCGTCATCCATTTACTCAAACTCATTCTTCTTCTTCTATGTGCTGTGAAACTTCAGGACATTGGTGATCATGGCTCTCCACAATTTCCTCTCCTTTGTAGCTCTTAATAAATTTTGTCTTTTTTTCAGGACATTGGTGATCTCTCTCCTAAACCTTGGTCCATCATCCATTTACTCAAACTCATTCTTCTTCTTCTATGTGCTGTGAAACTTCAGGACATTGGTGATCATGGCTCTCCACAATTTCCTCTCCTTTGTAGCTCTTAATAAATTTTGTCTTTTCTTATCTCTCCTAAACCTTGGTCCGTCATCCATTTACTCAAACTCATTCTTCTTCTTCTATGTGCTGTGAAACTTCAGGACATTGGTGATCATGGCTCTCCACAATTTCCTCTCCTTTGTAGCTCTTAATAAATTTTGTCTTTTTTCTTATCTCTCCTAAACCTTGGTCCGTCATCCATTTACTCAAACTCATTCTTCTTCTTCTATGTGCTGTGAAACTTCTACATGTGCTGTTTCCTCTCCTTTGTAGCTCTTAATAAATTTTGTCTTTTTTCTTATCTCTCCTAAACCTTGGTCCATCATCCATTTACTCAAACTCCTTCTTTGTAGCTCATTGGTGAATGGCTCTCCAAATTTCCTCTCCTTTGTCTTTTAAATTTTGTCTTTTCTCTCTCTAAACCTTGGTCCGTCATCCATTTACTCAAACTCATTCTTCTTCTTCTGTGAAACTTCAGGATATTGTGAAACTTCAGGACATTGGTGATCATGGTCTTTTCCTTATCTCACAATTTTACTCATCCTTTGTAGCTCTTAATAAATTTCTTAATAAATTTGTCTTTTTTTATTATCTCCCTGAACCTTGGTCCGTCATCCATTTACTCAAACTCATTCTTCTTCTTCTATGTGCTGTGAAACTTCAGGACATTGGTGATCATGGCTCTCCACAATTTCCTCTCCTTTGTAACTCTTAATAAATTTTGTCTTTTTTTATCTCTCCTAAACCTTGGTCCGTCATCCATTTACTCAAACTCATTCTTCTTCTTCTATGTGCTGTGAAACTTCAGGACATTGGTGATCATGGCTCTTCTCCTTTGTATCTCTCTCTTAATAAATTTTGTCTTTTTTCTTATCTCTCCAAACCTTGGTCCGTCATCCATTTACTCAAACTCATTCTTCTTCTTCTATGTGCTGTGAAACTTCAGGACATTGGTGATCATGGCTCTCCACAATTTCCTCTCCTTTGTAGCTCTTAATAAATTTTGTCTTTTCTTATCTCTCCTAAACCTTGGTCCGTCATCCATTTACTCAAACTCATTCTTCTTCTTCTATGTGCTGTGAAACTTCAGGACATTGGTGATCATGGCTCTCCACAATTTCCTCTCCTTTGTAGCTCTTAATAAATTTTGTCTTTTCTTATCTCTCCTAAACCTTGGTCCGTCATCCATTTACTCAAACTCATTCTTCTTCTTCTATGTTCTATGTGCTGTTTCCTCTCCTTTGTAGCTCTTAATAAATTTTGTCTTTTCATTATCTCTCCTAAACCTTGGTCCGTCATCCTCTCCTCTTCTTCTTCTATGCTCTTAAACTTCAAATTTGTCTTTTTCCTTCCTTTGTCTCTCTTAATAAATTTTGTCTTTTTATCCTCTCCTCCTTGGTCCCATTTACTCAAACTCATTCTTCTTCTTCTATGTGCTTCTAGGACATTGGTGATCATGGCTCTCCACAATTTCCTCTCCTTTGTTGCTCTTAATAAATTTTGTCTTTTTGAAATCTCTCCTAAACTTGGTCCGTCATCCATTTACTCAAACTCATTCTTCTTCTTCTATGTTGTGAAACTTTCAGGATTGTATTGGTAAATTTTGTCTTTTGTTGGCTCTCCCTAAACCTTGGTCCAATTTCCTCAGGACATTTGATCATCTTTGTAGCTCTTAATAAATTTTGTCTTTTTCTTATCTCTCCTAAACCTTGGTCCGTCATCCATTTACTCAAACTCATTCTTCTTCTTCTATGTGCTGTGAAACTTCAGGACATTGGTGATCATGGCTCTCCATCCATTTCCTCTCCTTTGGTAGCTTTAATAAATTTTGTCTTTTTCTTTTGTAGCTTATCTCTCCTAAACCTTGGTCCGTCATCCATTTTACTCAAACTCATTCTTCTTCTTCTATGTGCTGTGAAACTTCAGGACATTGGTGATCATGGCTCTCCACAATTTCCTCCTTTGTAGCTCTTAATAAATTTTGTCTTTTTGTTATCTCTCCTAAACCTTGGTCCGTCATCCATTTACTCAAACTCATTCTTCTTCTTCTTCTATGTGGCGTGAAACTTCAGGACATTGGTGATCATGGCTCTCCACAATTTCCTCTCCTTTGTAGCTCTTAATAAATTTTGTCTTTTCTTTATCTCCTCCTAAACCTTGGTCCGTCATCCATTTACTCAAACTCATTCTTCTTCTTCTATGTGCTCTTCAGGACATTGGTGATCATGGCTCTCCAAATTTCCTGTCCTTTGTAGCTCTTAATAAATTTTGTCTTTTCTTATCTCTCCTAAACCTTGGTCCGTCATCCATTTACTCAAACTCATTCTTTCTTTTCTTCATTGCTCTCCATTTCCTCTCCTTTGTGAAAAATTTTGTCTTTTTTATAAGACCATTTACATAAACTCATTCTTCTTCTTCTATGTGATGTGAAAAAGCGAATACATTAGTGATCATGGCTCTCCACAATTTCCTCTCCTTTGTAGCTCTTAATAAATTTTTGTCTTTTCTTATCTCCTCCAAACCTTGGTCTTTTTATTCTTCTCTCCTAAACTTCAGGACATTGTTCCGGTCATCCATTTTCTTAATAAATTTTGTCTTTCTTATCTCTAAACTCAAACTCATTCTTCTTCTATCTCTTTTGTTACCCCTAAACCTCCGCCTTCCATTTACTATATCTCCGTGTCCCTTCAAGGACTATGGCGCAGATTTGTATTTATCATGAACAGAATTAAATGACTGATACCATAGGGAGAGGTGGATTCATGCCTTCTCAAAGGTCAGATAGTATATCATGAAAAGATTGTGGTGGCTGATCGAGAGTAGAGCTTAATCCCTGATCTGACTTATTAGGGAGATGTGGATTCATGCTTTTTTTTAAAAGGCAGATATGTCAAAGTTTAACTGTATTCACTGTTATCCCCCCCCAAATACTTTCACTAAATTAGCGTTCTATATCTTTGTTTTTTTTTTTTGTTGGGGGGGGGTCTCTATACTTGAACGTCTATAGAAAAAAAAGCCCTCAAGAAATTAAAGGTTAATTTTCAAGTCACGCACGCTGACTTCGCCGTCTCTCATCAATTCGTTCCTTTTCTACTTGTAAAATCTGCAAGTGTACATAATTCCGTTCTTATCTATAAAGATCACTCGATTAAATATTATATTTACACCCTTTCCCGTCTCTACCGAAGATATCTGTATATTTAAATATAGATAAATCGAGGTTATTTCTTGTTAGTTTAGAGGCAGTATTAAGAACGGCAAAGACTTTATCTTCCCTTTAAGCTCTCGTACACATTAAGGGGAGAAAAAGTGCGCTTATTGATTCATAGACCCCGTTTTTACTGTTCTCTAATGTTACAGGAGCAGGCACAGTTATTAGGGTTTATTATTATTGGTTCTTGTTTATTTTCTTCAAAGGTTTGCAGAACTGAATCGAAAGAACATTTCTTGTGAATCACCCAACACTTTCCATCTTTGCTCGAGTCGTTTTGCCGACCCCTCAGCTCGACCCGCCTCCACACCACTCCCGCCTCCTCAGCATGCGTGTACGTGCGTGTGAGCGAGTGTGTATGCGTGTGTGCGCGTAATATTAATTACGTGAAGTGTGGCGCCGCTCGAAACAGCTGTTGACTCCGTGAAGCTGTGGGGGTAAGGGCAATCCTTTCGGGGCACATCTAAGCTTTTGCCCCTGGGCAATAACTGACTCTTTTGAAGTGAAGAGTACAAAAATTCTTAGTCCACTCAGATTGCTTCTGCTTTCAGCTACTTTTTAATAAACACTTTTTGAAGTTTTCACATTATTATTAATGTTGCTGCTTGTCTGTACTGGTGTAAAATATAAAATATTAATCGCTATTAATTATCATTCATAGAATATTTTCGACAATAATTATTTACAACGTCTCCGATGTTCTGAACAGTTCATTATTCGTGTTCAGCTAATAATATCAAAAAAAAAAAAAATAAATAAATCTACAACATTGTGGGTACTGATCTGGCATTTCGGCTTCAATCACTTTCCCCCGGCCATAACATATCTACCCTACCAGAATCCTGCTGGCCTGCTTTATCTTTGCAAGTGTCAGGTCAGATCAAGAATGGAATATTGGTGCCATATCTGGGCTGGAACTGCCCAATCCTCACTAAAAAAAAAATAAATAAATAAATAAAAAAATAAAAATCCTCTGCAAAAGGTTTTACATAGCTCTGTAGGGGATGAATTATTCTTCTCCCAGCAACTCTTGTCCCACAGACGAAACGCCGAAACATGTGCTTTTTCTAGAAATATTTTCATGGCAATTGCTCTGATGACATTCCTTCTTTAGTACCTCGACTTTATAAATTTAAACGCAGTACTAGATTGTCGGCTAGGTCTCATCATTTTACAGTTGAAATTTTTACATGAAACCTTAAGTTCTATGCTCCTTCTAAGTTCCTTTTATATTATTTTTCCGATCTGGAATGTTTTTGTTTTGTTTTTTTTTGTTTTTTTTTTTTTTTTTTTTTTTTATTAATTCACCTCAGGCAAGACGATAATGCTACTAAGATTCAAAAGGCTACTGCGAGTGAAAGAGTTTCAAAAGACTTTAGAAGGAATAAGAAACTCAATCCTAAACAGGAAACAAAGGAAAAATCTCTACTCCTGTTAAAAATAAAACGGGGAGGAGTCTGAACCGGACCATATCCAATTAAGGAAAAAATAATAAATAAAATTTCAGAGTTTAGGCGGAAACGCTAGCAATATAGAGTTGAAGTAGACTTAAGAAGGAACCGGGAACCAAATCCTAAACAGGAAACAAGAGATAAACAGATCTGTGGAGGAATTTGAACCGGGCGATAACCGAACCTATCTACTCTTACTGAGAAGAAAATAGATACTGTATATACTCGCGTATCATGCTGCCTTTGAGGTCTTCATTTACGAAGCGAATCTGACTACAGTAAATGGATATATAGTTTGGTCAAAGGCGTAGCCAAGGCAAGCAGTACATACGCTAATTTTATATCTCATGTATGATGTGACCCTCTTAAAATTTGCTTCAAAATCATGTCTTCAAAAGTCGCATGATACGCGAGCATATGCGGTAAATAGATAATCATTAAATGAAATTCCAGAGTTCAGCCGGAGACGTGAGAAGTATAGACTTGAAGTAGACTTTAGAAAGAACCGGAAACCCAGTTCCAAACAGGAAACAAGGGATAAACCTCTACTCCTGTTCAAAAGACCGGGGAGAGTGTGAAAAGGACGATAAGCGAACTTATCTATTCCTATTTAAGGAAGTAACTAAAAAATGAAGAGGAGATCAAATTTCAGAACTTAGGCCGGTACTTTAGAAGTGTAGAGTCGAAGAAGGAACTGGAAACTCAATCCCAAACAGGAAACAAGGGATAAACCTTTACTTCTGTTCAAAAGATCGAGAAGATGGGTAAGCCGGACGATAGGTGGACATCTCTACTCCTATTGACAAAAGAAAAAGTAATACAATATTGAATTAAAATTTCTGAGTTTTAGGTGGAGATGTTAGAAATATAGAGTTGACTTTAGAAGGAAGTGTAAACTCAATCCTAAACAGGAAACAAGGGATAAATCTATACTTCTGTTCAAAAGATCGGGGAGGAGTGTGAATTGGGCGCTAGGCAAACACTATCTACTCGTATGCAAAAGAAAAATAAATAGAAGATTATTAAATAAAATTTCATTGTTCTGAAACCTGAGATAAATCGCTACTCCTAAACGAATTAGAATTTCAGGAGCCAACAAAAAGGCAACAGTAGATCCTAGAATATCTTTAAGACAACGGTGTCTTTGAAATTCCATTGAATCAATTTGTGTTTTTGTTTAATATCATAAAGAAAATTTAATATCGACATATTTCATCGAATTAAAGAAATAAATATCATCTCTCGTTTGTCAATATTTCTGTAACTGTGCATCCATTTTGTCTGTTTGTCTATCCCTGTGTTTCTCAACTTTTTAAAGCAACGACACACGTAGGAGCAAATGAAAATATCATGGCACACTTAGCAACATTTTTAAAGGCTATACATTTAAATATTATGAAATAAAACCATAGATTTTTTTTTCAAATACACGCACAAATATAAACTTTTTTTTATTTCAATGTTTCTGTGCAACTATTTGTGTTGCTTATTTTGTGTGAAGAAACCTGGGCCTGATGCTTTTTCAAGATTTCTTGGTTTGGTGCGATAAGCAGACCCCCATTTCTTCTTCAGTTGAGCGTAGTCTTTCTCGCTTCTTATTTTTGATGTTATTTAAGGTTGAGAAGCCAAATTCACATAAATAAGACGCAGAAAATTGCAATAAAACTGATAAAGTCTTTTTAGCTAATGTGGAATATTCCTTTGGTATTGAAATCCAAAATGTAGCAAGAGGGGTCGGAGTTAGCTCCTCCTTAATTCTCTAATTGTTCACTAGGGGTCGCTCTCCCTACACTATAAATACTGGGCGACTTCTTACCTCGTTCTTTTTTCTACTTCGCATTTCAGCGGACACGTTTAAAAATGTGATCTCTCACAGAGATCAGCGTTTTTGCCCACTTGTGGGAAAACGCCATGAAACACACATACACGTACGTACGAACCAATATACAAACTCTTTACGTTCGCACACAAACACAAATGTTGATGTCTTTGTCACTTGTAAATTTGTTGCTTAATACATATATTTTTTTATATATATATATCTGTCGTGTTTGTTTTCTTTACATCTTCGTTTGGACTCAACTTGAGTCCGCCATATTCTTGTAGTTGGACCTTCTAACAGGAATAAACAGCACGTGTTCCTAATATGACAACACGAGAACCCCCAGTCCTCTACAGAGGTAGCGTCGAATGTTTTAATTTGATCCCATAAAAAATAAAAATACTTTTTTTTAAAAAATGAATATTAAAACAAAGTATTTCAAATAATATAATCGAAGAATAGTGAAAATAATTCTTTGAATAAAAGATTTAATACTTATTCATTTATTCAAATACCAACGTTGTATCATTACTACTTCCACACACATATCAAGGGTGTTTCATTGACACGGAGTATATATAAGGGTGTTTCATTAAGACGGATCAAAGTCAGCAGTAAATAAATCAGTGTTATTGGTGAAAATTTATTTATTTCTCAATTGGATGATGTTATTTAAGTTATAGGAATTATGTTTGAAAAGTAATATCACCCAAATCTGAAAGAAAAAGAAAAAAATTATTAGACGCTTAAACTTAATTCACATTTAAAATCGGTCCAAGCTATTGGAACACCCTTTATATATATATATATATAATTTATATATTTAGGCAGCAATCCTTTTTTCATGCACCTTTCATTGAATACGACAGACAAGGTGATTTTATTTATTTTTTTATACAATTTCTCATGTGATCTAATAATTTTTTTTCTTTTCAAATGATAAATTATATAAAAACTGTCCGAATGTTCTTTTTATCCGAGCGCTTTCGGCTATACATTTAGCCATTTTCAAGGATTAAATATTTTAACTGTTAAATAAGAAATAGTTTGTTGTATGTAAGTTTTATAAAATGTTTTCATTTTTCAAAACAGTGTCAAGATATTGTGTCCATGTTCAAAGTTAATATTATTAAGTGTTGTTTATTTTTGTTTTTATTAATACAGCTTCTATTATTTTTAACCTTTTTTGCATGTAGATGATGCTATTATATTAGTGTTGTCAACAAGTGTGTTACAAATAGTATCCGGTAGGTCACCATGAATATTTAAATGAGATCTAATTGAGCTATTGTCAGAAAGGTGTAGAGTGAGTCTTCGTTCCAAACATGTTGTAGTGTGGCCTATATATATATATATATATATAACGTCATCCACAGACAGACTGTTTCGCTGTTTCACAGCTCATCAGTGTGGATAGACATCCGGTTGCCTCTAGCTAAGATCGAAACCCGACTGAATTGGTGTCAGTCGGAGATTATATATATATATATATATATATATATATATATATATAATATATAATATATTTTTCAGCGCACTTATGAGGATCGTGCAGTAGACAGACTTACCTCATCAAAGACTTAGCAATCGATTAGACTTTCCAACATCATATCAGTAGAAAATGTGAGTCGCTCTTCTGGAGGTTAGCACCAACCACGATGAGGGAAAGCAAAAAGTTGCCTGAAAACCATCCCATTGGCTGACCAAAGCCTTGTGCGTAAAATTGGATTGACGGAATTGACGTCGATGGTTGTGCTGGCACAAAGTGACAAGTCATCGTGACCGAGGGTTTTGAGCGTGTTGCCGTTGTTCAAAGCGCTGATTATGCATTTTAATCTGTAACTAAGACCCGCAGTGTAAATTACAGGTGGCCTTGGTTGGTATTGAACAAACGCAAATGTGCCTGAGCAGATGTCTGTGAGAGGGATTTGCCAGCTGCCGTAACAGACGGGTGTGCTCGGGAAATGAATGTAGTCAGCCGTTATATGTCGAGATATCCCAATCTATTCAAGTCAAAACGACCAAAATGAATGCGATTTTTTCCCCAACGCGAACTCAAACAAGGACAGGCTATTTTTTTTTTTTAAATTGCCCCAAATCAGGAAATTAATCAATTTAAAGGAACGTTTCAGTAGTTATTAATTATTGAATGAGGTGTATATCGAATAGGTTATTTCCACTTTGTTGAAATACTTCTGGGGTTATTTTCACTTCCCCCTTTCAAAATTTTAATTTGTTAAGTGTTCGTGAAATTTGTTTTACAGATTTAAAAAGTATCCTGAAAATTTTATTTCAGTAAAATATTCATTCGGGATCACAATCAGTGTGGACGTATTCAAAATTTGCCTTAAACCTTACATCTATATATATAAAGTTGTAGCCGCTGTCTGTTTGTTTGTTATCGAACACCTACTAGGGTTTTGGAGACAGACCCCCATAAGCATATATATTCTGAAACTACATTACCCAGGGTACTTGGAGAAGTAAATTTCATTTTGATCAAAGGGGACTCCGGGCAGGAGCAAGCCTCTATTTAATTTTTTTCACTTTTGATAAAAATTAAATTTAAACAAGGGAATGTCTCCTAGGGTACTTGGATAAGTGCATTTCGTTTTGATCAAAGGAGTTCCCGTTATGAACCCCACTGAATTTTTTTTCTTTGATTTTAATTAAATTTGAACAAGGGAATGACTCCTATCCAAAACATAGAAGGAGAAAGCTAGAAGATGGAGGTCACACCAGCAAAACCAAATCAAGTTGAGCAAGAAATCACCAATCAGTTGGTAGTGCCTTACTATACATATTTGTTGTGGCAATTCAACTGTCATATCAATGTTGAAATCTCCTCAGCAATTCAGTCAATCAAGTATTGATAAAATATATATATCAAAAGGGTCAGATCAAGCTGTTTTTGCACAAGCTCCACACTGAAAATGTTTTTTTCCCTTTGATTTAAATTAAATTTAAATTTGAATAAGGGAATGACTCCTATCCAAAATATAGAAGGAGAAAGTCAGAAGATGGAGATCACATCAGCAAGATCATTGAGTAATATTAAAATACATCATTTTTCTTCACAAAATATAACAATGATTTAAAATAAATCATAATTTTCTTAAAAAAAGAAATGTATGACACGCAGCAAGGTAATTCGGTTAGTATATATATATATATATATATATATATATATATATATATATTCATGCACGTTTCATTAAATAATATAGACAAGTGTTGTCTATTTATTTTATGTAAATTCTTTTCATAACGTCTAATAAGTTTAGTAACATTATCATTGAACGAAGAAAGAAATTCACAATATTGATCCATTTTTTTTAATACAATCTATGCTTTCGGTTTACATAAGCCATTATCAAAGATGTCAATTACAATATATTAAGCAATATACGGACAAGACAATGATGACAAGCTCTACTTCTGTATGGGGCACTGTGTTGTTAAAAATAAAAACAAAAATACTAAAGAACTCCGGATTATTTACCTAACGTATTCTTTCCTATTTTTCTATATATTTGCACACACACACACACACACAGACACACACACATATTATATATATATATATATATATATATATATATATATATATATATATATATATATATATATAAAGAAAGAAAGAACAGTAAGATATATAATCCGGTGTTCTTATTAATATTTTTAATTTTACAGTGCTCAATGCATATCTACAGAGTATAATTTTAAAGTAAATTTATAATATATATATATATATTTGAAAATATTTTTGAAGGTACAAAATCTAATTACAGAAATAAAAGTGTGAAGAGTCCTGCAAACCTTCCCTGTGTAAACATCGTGAATGTTTGTTGGGTCTTGCTGTTATTTGTCTCTAGCCCTTTATGTTCATATTCTCCCCCCCTCTTTTCTTTCTCATTGTACATTTTCTAGTGTTTTTTAATTTAAGTTAAATCTGCTGTGGAAGCCTGAAGAGCGGGAGCAAAACCGGTTGCTTCGCTTTTAGAAATGTCGAGTAATATCAAGCTTCACACTTTTATTTCTGATATATATATATATATATATATATATATATAATGCCGTAAGAATTTTTGACGTTAACA